AAAAATGGCGTTAATTGTTCCTAGTCTCTCAGATGACAACCAAGAACTGATCCTAAGCACCGAAGTATTTGATTTGAGAACAAGAAACAATCCTAAAAAAAAAGCGTTTCATTTTTCACTGTTTTGGCTGTGTTACTCACTGATAAGCATATACGCCATACTGTCAAAAATGTTTCACTCGCTCCATTTTTCTCCCATTCTTCTCCTATTTTACATTAATAGTTTCTTCTAAAATGATTTCTTAGTAACTAGTATTTTCTGTTTATTTCTTCACAATAGAAAATGGATGATGATAAATGAAAAAGACAGATTCGTGTCTGCAAGGCAAGAGCCAAAAATGGCGTTAATTGTTCCTAGTCTCTCAGATGACAACCAAGAACTGATCCTAAGCACCGAAGGTATAGAACCCATTAAGATACCTGCTAATGCTAATGTCAGTCAAAGACTGATATGTACTACGTAAGATATGAAGTTTTTTTTTATTATGAAAATATTCTGATATTCAAATTACAAAACATTTTCTTAATTGCTCTATGAAATCACCTATCCATGTAATTGTCAAATGCAGCGGTGGCGAAAGGGGTGCTCTCCCCTGTCAGCAGCCAGAAAAAAATGTTCGATCAAGTATAAAATCATTTAGATAAAGCAGGACACTGACTGTGCCTGGTGGTTATCTACCAATGCGATTCTATGGAGAACGCAACACAACCTTAATGATGGTCTGTTCAGACTTCCACCAACAATGCAAACAGCACTGTGTCATCTAACGCTCACAGAGAGCAGAGTTTGATTTGTCGTACCAGGGTCACGGCCAGCGTACGATGCAGGGAGCACCCGGTTTGAGAGATTAAAATGGTTAAAACCCCAGAGCCAGAGCATCCACCAGTGGTAACATCATCAAAGCAACATGAGGTCATTTGACCCAGTGGCGGCACTAGAATTTCCCCGATGGCAGGGCAATGTACTTTGGTACATGGCGGCATTCCAGGGCCAAAGCCTCCCCGCAGGTTCATAGCCAGCTATGTAGAATGCAAACTCTGAGTGGCCTAATCATTTAGCTGGCTATATTTTTTAGCTGATACCATTAAAATCATTGAGTTCATCAAATAAATGCGCTACCAAACATGATCCACTAAGCACCACTCTCAAATAAGTTCTGCAGTGCTTAATAGGAACAGGCCTATTCTATTTTGAAAAAACATTCAGCGACCATCGCATATCGGCACACCCCCACCCCCATTTCATGACTCCTATATGCCACTGCTCCTCAAGATGAATGAAAGTGTCTCTAAAATATGTCATGGTATTGTGTTTTTTTGGTACTGTACATAGTATATGGAACACGGATATTTTGGGTTATGAGTGTGGTAAGGTTGCTGAAGAATGGCTTTCAAAAATATTCCGCTATCAAGGCTACAAGTTAGTAGTTCATGAAGACAGCCTTGAAGGTCGCAAATTGGCTGATGACCCCAAGTGGAAACCAAAATCCTTGTACAAAGATGAGGTGAATAATTGTTGATATTCAATATTAATCCAATCAGTTTAAATCATTTTGACTCTCCTAGATAAACACAGCTTTGGTGAGTGTATGGTCAATGGCTGTGACTAGTATAACGCATAACATTCGTCTCTATGCGCTTTACAGGACAACAGAAAAGAATAAAAACCAGAATAAATGGTTGAAATGGAAAAGAAAATGATAGAAAAAAAAACAACACAAAAAGGAAAGTGGAAAGCAAATAAAACAGGAGAGTGGAGGAAAAATTAGAGATTGTCAAATAAGAATGATTTAAGATGGCGCTTTAAAGATCATCAAATTTACTAGTCTCTTATTTTTTTTTATTCAACTTATAAGGCAAGAACAGAACAGGTGAACAAGCACCTCTACAGAGCCGTCTTACCACCGGAGAAAAATGAATAAATAAATAATCAAATAAATGTAAAAAAGATAAGGATTCAATTAG